TTGAAATGATAGGAAATTTCACACATGGTCACGAGAGGAAGCAATTGTCGCTAACAGATCTATATCGCACTCACTGACACATGTTCCGTTTCATGTAATGGACCATTGGCGTTAGTTTCGTACGAAATGTACTTTTCATTTGCCTTATACATTCCCTGTACTTATAAGTCACCCAACTAGAACATCTACATGTACATCAGATACACGAGCACCAGCTAGCGTGTCCGTAACAGAGGTTTCCAGTCAACCTACGCTTTAAAAAATAACTCAAAATGATTGAAAAGGTTGTCAAGTATCTTTGGATCAGAAAAAGTATAGAAATATTTAACGCGACATTGGACGGAACACAATCATTAATTTACTAAGTACAATAGTAACTTACACTATACATAGGTCTATGTGTGGGATGCGTATATTTCATGACAAAACATGTCAATCATATATTAAAAAATGCTGATTTCTCTGAATGAGGTAGAGTTAATGATACGTTCTATGTCTGCAGGTTGAATACACTTGTTGGTATATATCTCGTCTCCTTATCACGTTGGTCATCTCGTATTCAAGCTATTGTGGCAGCTCAAAACGATCAAATAGCAATGTTTCCTTCAACGAGAGTTCATTTGAACTGCAACCAATCGATAACAATTATTGTTCACTATCAAGGAGACAGAAATTGTTAATTTCTGTTTGTCCCTATCACATGATTATGTCTGTTTCCGTACACAATAATTCAATATCATCTTCATCGTTACTGATCANGGGGGGGGGGGGGGGGGGGGGGGGGGGGGATTAGCGATCAGACAGCAAAACAAAAACATTATTAATAAAAAAACTATTAATAGATTATTGGATATCATGATTCCTAAAGAGATTTTAAAAACAATTAGGAAAAATATATATGTATTGCGTCCTTGTCTGTTGACGCTGTTCTAAATCATGTCATTGTGTGTTGACACTGTACTTTATTAACTTCACGTGGTATAACTGACGCTGTTCTATATTCTGCCCTTGTGTGTTGAAGCTGTTCTATATTAACTTCATATGCTATAAATCTTGCACCTGTAGTCGTCCCTCTGCCAGACTTTTCTCTGAGAATGGCCGGCGAAGTTAAGATTTGTCTGTAACTCATTCAGCCAAGTTTATCTCGTATTACGGCGCGTCTAGACACGATGATTTCGGATAACCTGATATTCTTGTCAGTTTGGTATGTTTATATCTATGCACTGCTGCGATAACAGACGTATCTGTAATTACACAGCAATAAGACAAAGACTTATCTGTTTCAAGCAACTGACATACGCGGAAAGTATAGATTTATATTTGGGTAACATATCTGTGTCTTTGTTGAAGAACATACGAAGTATAGGTAAGAGATCGGAGCTCCATATACCTCTGATTATCGACATTTTGGTTAAAGTCAAAAACTCTATAATTAGTACAAACCAACTCTTTATGCGAACGGGCGTCGTTTGAATATCTGAAACACTCATAAGTCTTACGTTCAAGCTACAATCTTTGCTGAATAGCTTTCTTGATTATTGTTATCAAGAACTACAAAATAATGTCACCGACCGTTATACTCTATAATAAAGGGGCGGTAATTAGACAGTAGTCCTAACATTATAGAAAATCGACAATGACCGTACAGTGGACAGGAAGTTACACTTGGCAGTACCCTTAACGCGTATCAAAACAAGTCCCTGTCAAAGTTCAATTTCAGTAAAACTAAGCTATATAGCTGGTCAGTTGTCCATATTGACAGTTCAGCAGGACTGTAGATATATAACCACACACGTACACACTGCTTCGCGTACCTATACATGGAAATAAATGTAGATAAATCTATCTGCTTAGTAATCATGCACTGCGAACAGATTATACGTTGCTTGACAAACACTTTATCAGGTTATTCGATGCAATTTGTCGTCTTCCGTAAGAATTTGTGATATATATGGCCAAATAAGATTATCTTTTTACTTTCTTTAGGCATAAAGACACAATTTATGGTATTTGTATGTCTGAGAGTATATGGTTTTATAAGAGGCCTGCGTATGTCAGCAAAAACAAAATTGAAGAACAAGATTACTTTCTTCTTCTACATCATCAATTTTACACAACTTTCAAAGTCTGGTTCTGTTTTCATTTTGGTAGCGATAACTTAAAATATTTTGCTCAAAGACATATTAATGTCTTTAACACAGCTCTGTGCACACGTACAAACCATCAACTTACTTCATTTCACAACACATTTGTCGGTAAAGAGACCCTAGACATTCAGTAAAGGGTTAAGTACACCAATTCCTATCTATTGACAGAAGAAAAAATAGATTAATAAATATGCTCAACTGTTATCATCCCCCCGCTTCACGCCTGCGCGTTTTGTCTTGTTTACTGTAGTAAACTTTTACGATGCGTTAATAGAAAAAACGAATACCGTTTTTCCGATGACATTCTGATTCTCTTAGAGCTCTTCAACTTCATGTGACACACCTACCAACGGCTGAATATGTAAGCGCGCTGATCTTGGCGACTTACGACCATAATTAGGGGTCCGACCGTCTTCCGGGTCAATCTAGTACAATAAATCCATTTATTTCGAACAAAACCGTACACGAGTAGGAAGCTTCATTCGTATAAGTGCTATGTATAATGTGATTGCCGACTTTTCTATATACTATCCCAACTGGTTTCGACATATCAAACAGTGTATGACCCGCCGGAGCTTTTATCTTCATTCCGTCCAACCATGGAATTAAATGTAAATTGCGCCCGATTCGTTTATTAGATTTCCAATCCGGGTTGGACAGACGTTTGTTTTATGACACGTGGGTTCCTACTATACGATTACATTACAATGTCATTTATACGATATGTATTTTATAAATACATCTTTAATTGTATTGTTATATAGGTAAATTGAATGCATATTCACCCTCTTTATGTATTTTTAACGCTCTAGGGGATTATGAGTTTCAAAATAATTAAAGTTCGTTAACTATGGTTTACTGGATCAATGAAGATATACACAAAATGTTTCTAAACTCCACACAATGGCAGAAATATTTGTTCAGTAAGATAAGTAATAACGGCGATAGTTAACCTTTGGATTTAACAATTGATTTGGGATATAGTCATCAATGTTAAACACAACACCAATCAGCAAACAAACTCTGAAGCAGGTTCTCAAATTTATGACGCATTCGATTGGATCACTATTGCTATTCGAGTACATATGTGTTCATCTTACTGAAAATTCCAATATGATACCATAGTCGAAAGTGTAAAACAGGTGATAAAATAATAACATTCACGGCAAACACACAAAGACCGGAAGGCAGCCATACAAGATGTGCACAAAAAGGGTTTTGTTTGACGTTTCAACTATTACATTTATAGGTCCAGAATAGAATAACGTGATTTTATCGATTTTCGTGACCTAAAATTACCGCTATAAATCCCACACAAACTCTGTATCTTGTTGATTTTTATCAGTTAATATTGTTTCCATTGTCTTTGATTAATAGTCAATAAACACATGATTGGACATTGTGTGTTTGGTTGGTTACGGCGGATGTGTTATAAAAAACGTCATAAGTTGTCGGTCATTGACCTATATCGGACCCTTGTCTTGTAAAAGATCAGATCAGTTATATATATATATCCGTTATATTTCACAAGACCACGCGATGGTCATTGTTATTGTTATTGGCTTTTGTCTTTTTGTTATTACTTAATTGGAATCGATTTTTTTTCCGGCCCCGTTTCAGCGGTTCCGGTGTTGGGGTTTTATAACCCTTTTTGAGGACCTACAATCATTTTACTCTTTATCTGTTCAGTTAAAGCTTGTCTTTAAAATGAGCATAACCAGCCAGAGAAGCGAATTAATATGACAACTTGTTATATAAAGGAGTTCGCTGTCTTGGGTAGGCACGTGCTAGTATGATTGACAGGATTATGATGTAAGTTTTGTGAAGTAGGCGCTGTGTTTGACAATATATCACCTGAGTATTTTTTTACCTGCTATTTGTCGCTAGCATTATATACATGTATCATCTGTATTTCCTCCAAATTGAACAGCATGATAATACATAATAAATACACACATTGAAACAATGGTAATACATGAACAATACCTTAGCGTTAGTATCATTAGCGGCTTTCACCGTAGTTATGATGATTTTATGAAGGCGGTTACCTGACGATGTGTTCATGGTTTGGAAGGTTGTTGAGATCCTCGAAAAGAGGTGTGTCTCTCACGTAGCTCACACTGACCATTCTATTGTTTATATCCTTGATAATTCTGTAACATATTTTGACAGTTAATTACAAATATATGTCAACAATAACAAATTGAAAAAGGTTGTCAGAAATTATATTTCTAGGACCTAAAATATGTCCAACAGTTTTTGTAACATTTGGTCAGTGACATGATTAAAACCGTTGCGGTAGGAGAACTACATTTAACGAAAACAATCAGATTTACACCTTTTTGCCAACGGCTTTTCTTAGAAACAAATTGCCCTTGCAGAATGAATATCGAATTGAAATAAGTAACAACTTGAAAAAAAACACTACCTTCTTCTGAAAATATCCAGCTTGGCCGTGGGTGTGCTGTATTGTCAAACACAGCGTTGTGTAAATGACAAACATAATAAGGAAGCCTTAGGCTATATTTATGTTTTCATTCGGAACTGTCATCTCCAGAAAAACAAAGACGGGTGTCTTAAGAAATATCCAGGCCAAGTCATTGCCCCCTGTTTCTTTATAAAAGGTAATGGTGTTATAGAAAGATACTTAGATAGATTGGGCGGTTTAGAAAGTATGAAGTCATATGGAAATGATGAAAAGCGTGTTCATTTGGGGTCATATACGTTGTTAGCAGCCTTGTATTCCCAAGTAACGTCAAACGCATGCTTAAAGTGAATCATTTGGAAGTTGATTTATTTACATAAAATTATTTTCACTTTGACACTAATACCTATTTTCGTTTATGTTTTCAGGCAGTCCAACATGACTACATTACAGAGCCTATGTGTTGTAGCACTATTGCTGTGTTTATGCGAACACACAGTCGCGAGGAGTATTGAATGTTCCACCCTTTGCACGCAAGGTTACTCCATTACCTCTTGTGAATGTTGGAGGTTCAAGGTCAAACTTCCCTTCCGGTTTGGTAAAAGAGGGAGACTTCCATTCAGATACGGAAAACGAGATTCACCTGTGATATCATCATACGACAGTAGTATAGAAAAGTAAGTAATGGTAGCATCACTAAAATATACGGTTATCTCCCCTTATAGACGAGTCGGGTGGATGGCTTGTCAATTTGAACCTGTCGTTACCGAACCAGCTGTGATCAATTACAAGATTGATTTTACCCATCATTTCCGTCATATCAGCCTATTTCCATTGTAATGCTTCTGAACAGTTCAAAGGGATACCAAGTATAACAGTTAGGCGGCAATGAGAAAACACGACAATGAGAAAATACGACCATGAGAAAACACGACAATGAGAAAATACGACAATGAGAAAATACGAATACCGCATATACGCTGGATATATTAATACAATAAAAGACTTAAAACTAAGCCGCATAAAAAAGAGATTATCGGAACATCTCAGCGTAAAGAATTGTTCATTCAGATGCAACGTTACACACATACAATGTATATAGCAGTTGTCTTGCTTTGCTAGTCTTCAAAATTAGGTATATAGTACAGTTACATTCCGATAATATAATTTTCTTATCCTTCGTAGAATAGAAATCGAGAGCACAATGTGAGGTATACTTCTCTCATCTGGAACAAATTACTTTGTCTGGATAGCATGAAAACAACCTAATCAATATAACTTTCATATATTATTTATCCCGAAACAATGTGTTGCTACTTTTAATATCCATTTTATATCAATGGAAGGTATTGAGTGCATCTTGTAAATATGTCTCACCTCATAACAGTTATCTTCCCTTGCTTCTATTATGTATTCTTGTTCCATGAAACTAGAACAAATGTCATGTCAAATGCAGCTGTTTCACGAATTAGAAAAAATCTGGTATGCCTAAAAGTAGTCACTATTGTTAATTTTACAAAGAATTCGGCGTAGTCAACCTTGGACATCACAGTTTTTAGGTCATCTGAGTTTTGCTTTGTGCTTCGTGCGTTTATTAACATTTGCATTTTTAACGTAAATACTATTGAAGAGATTTCCTTGTTATTTGACGGGAATGTTACTGACATCGCCCTGTCCAAGTGTTATTGTTTTTCAGGTTGATCAGAAATCCATGATCCCAACAGTCTACATCTTAAAAACCCATTTCAAACTCAAATTTCAAGTCTCAAGTTCTAATAGGTAAAAAATGAAACTCAATGAGGAGGTTGACTGAGAATGGTTTTTTTTTGGTTATTTTTAGTCGAATCGATCAAGAAATCCAATAAGGCCCCTCTGGGCTCTGATTGCCTGAGATCTTTTCGAGTTCTTCTTACAAAAACACATTTTCGTTTTAGGTCCTAGCAAACTGTTCTTCCTGTTTGTGTCAATCCAAAATCCAAATGGCCCCTTTGGCCTCTAATGACATAGACATGTTATAGATTTGGTCAGGAACTGCTCCTCCTATTAGGTCTAAATTGCATACAAAGCGTAATTATTTCTTGCGCCAACTTAATTTACTGAGACATCTGACGTATATACATAACCTAATGGGGAGAGGTGACCTGAGGTAGCTACAATACTTAATGGGGAGAGGTGAACTGAGGTAGCCACTTACATGGAGGAGAAAGGTGACATGAGATTGCTACAGTACATAGTGGGGAGAGGTAACCTGGGGAAGCCACAGTACATAGCGGATGGAGACGGAACGTCTGATTGCCGAAAAAACATGTTTTTGGACAATGTTGATAAAACTTCTGAGGCGCAATGAACGGCGTGAAAGTGTTTCCCATCGTTTGAGAAGTTTGTGGTGATCTAATTTAGGAAATCTTATAAGAAACGCTAAATATACAAGTATAGGTTGTGTTACGGCCCCACATTTCACTTTCTCTATGTGGGATTAAAAGTCAGCAAGAAACTGGGAATAGACGTGGACCTTCTCTATATGTGTACTGGAGTACCAGTAGTAGCCTCAAGTCCGAGACATTATAAGGGAAAGAGACAATCGATTCCACCAACTGTGACTAGAAAAACAAAGAAGAAATCACAATTACGTAAAATATGATTTATGCTAAAAATAAATCACGCAGCAAACGACTTTTGAAATCGGACCAAACAATCCTTAAAAATGGATAAAAAATGTATTATTCATGTCAACGCGTCTTGGAACATCCGGAAATCCACCTAACAAATAGGATTTTCGTTCGAGATGGAGATTAGAGGCCTGATTCCCTTATCTGATATCCCGGATTATACTGCGACAGGGACAGCTTGTGGTGAAATGTACTGCAACTGCCGTCGACAGTAATCTGCTAGCATTCTCGATTAGCTTTGTTTCATTGAATTTCAATTTTTCGTATCAAATACCTTATTCAAATCTGTTATACAAGAAGTTGAGGGATTACAAGAAATGTGACAATCGTCCTGGTAAACAAATAATATGTGTTTATGTTAGCAAAACGTCTGACTGTTTTTGTCTTAATTTTGAGTTAATAGCTGCGTTTCTTGAAACATAAAGCACATTAAGATAGCAGTAGGACCATCAGGTCGACAGACAGCAGATGTATGTTAGGATTAAACCGCAAATCTGATCGAGGCCATTGTAACATTGTATGCCTCACTGAACACAGACTCTTTACTCTTTGACAATTGTTATTGGGAAATCTGATGTTTTTTATCAATAGCCTTTGTTTGCTGATGATTTCCCGGGTTCACTTGTCATCACCGCGTAAAGTAAACAGAGGTCGACCAGGAATCAATGTCGCCATCGTGTCGAGTACCCTGCGGGAGTTAGCACAGGGAAAGGGCATCACCCCGTCAAGGACATAATAACTAATTTATAGGACATACTGACTAATTAATAGGGACATACTGACTAATTAATAGGGACATACTGACTAATTAATAGGACATACTGACTAATAAGTGGGACATACTGACTAATTAGTAGGACAAACTGACTAATTAATAGGACATACTGACTAGTTAATAGGACATACTAACTAATTAGAAGGACATACTGACTAATAAGTAGGACATACTGACTAATTAATAAGGACATACTGACTAATCAATAGGACATACTAACTAATTAGTAGGACATACTGACTAATTAGTAGGACATACTGACTAATTAGTAGGACATACTGACTAATTTGTAGAACATACTGACTAATAAGTAGGACATACTGACTAATTAATACGGACATACTGACTAATTAATAGGACATACTGACTAATAAGTAAGACATACTGACTAATTAATTTCCTATAATTACAGAAAGTCGTTCTCTCTGACTGACTTCAAAACGTTTCCTTCATTAAAGTATAGAAATGTTGAACATTAAGCTTAACGGTTTCAATTATACACTAGAGGAAATGTATCTATTATGACTGTTTGTAGCCCTCTCTAATAATACAGTTTCCGTCATACACAATAAAGCAAAAAATCATCAAGTCCGTTAGTAGCCTTCAGTTATATAAATATTATTGTAAAACAATAGTTTGGCTGGAACTGTGTCATGTGATTTCCGATACAAATAATGACTGATTGTTTAAAAAAAGAGTGGTAAAAAACTTGCTAACTAGGTGTTTCTAAAAATAGATCGACAAACGTTGCGACGTCCTTGACACTACATGACAACAAACAGTGAAAAAATGCTATACTAGATAGCATGGAGTCAAACAACACGAACCGAAACATCACAACTACAGTGAAGGTATCCCGGGAATACCTTACGTCAGAAGGGAAGAATTCTGACCTTGAAAGGTTTTCAAACGGTGAGATAGGCGAAGACCTGGCTGATTTTTACATGAAATTGAGATAAAAAATAGGTAAAATGTAGAGTAAAATCCAAACAAGATCAGGTAATCTATATATAAGGGGTTCAGGAAATCGTCATAGGCCTTTAAAAATAAGACAAAAGAACTGAAATGACAATGTATCACGACGACCCATCACCCGCAATCACTGATGCAATCACTGATGCAATCATCAAATTTCTAAATTGAGGAATTTGATATATATCAGATGTTATTGTACCAATGCATTTTGATTTCTGGTGCTTCAAAATAATAAAAAGTAACAACGATTTTAGTAAGTTGTTTATTGTTATTGCAGTTTATACAGTTACATTCCTATATGTTCAAAATATTTTTAAAGTAAAATTATTGTAGCCTTTTATTTCGTTCGACTTCATCAAAAGGCTATAATTGTACGGTAATTCCTTCTTAAACATTAAGGTCCCTATTTTCCTGCCATAGTGATATGTTTTTCCGGTTAGTTGCCTCATCAGAATATACCTTTCCTATTTGCAAAATACAGGAAACGTATCCGCCAAGTCCGTTAGTTTTCCCTGTCGTTATATGGCATTTCCTTCTTGAACAATAAGGAAATCTTATCCACCAGGTCCCTTAGCTGACCCGTCATAGGAATATGTTTTACATTCTCGCAAAATGAACGGAACAAATCAATCAGGTAGGTAAGTAACCATTCTGTCATGATTTAATTTCCTTTATTCACAATAAGAAAACGTATCCATTGTGTCATTTTGCACTACCCTGTAATAATAAAGTGTCCTGCCCGTGCCCTACAACGTCGTTTCTATCACTTCAGCTGGTAAATAGTCTTTTCTCTTCTATCAAGGCCCTATGTATTCCTATGAAATTTATTTGATTTTCCTTATTACACCACAAGTCAACAAGTCCTGTCATAACAAAGTTATTTTTTCATCCTGTCAAAACAAACGGTTATTGAGGTAAGAATGTGGTTAATCCATCTGATTACCCCCAACGCTTTAAATTCAACTGATCAAAATATCTTCCTATTTTTGAAGTTTGGCGTCACAATTTGTGTTGTTGATAAATTCACATGGTACCGGTAATGATGCGTTTCAACTTGCCGAAATTCCCTGCAACGTTAGTTAATTAATTTCTGTTGTACTTTATTTATTTAAGAGCATTTTTATTAGTACAAGGAGAGCGCCTTCGGCTTCTACTTGTATCCAATTATCCTAACATTGTCAACAAGAGACAACGGTACATTTACCGAAATCTAATCACCGCTCAGACACGGCCGCTAATGAACATGCCACACGTTTATTTGAACTTGTGCATGTTATCGGTGACAAAGGATCGCATCATAGCTGAATTAATGGATCTGGTTTGGTCGATTCAGCATTTAGATCAACAGCATGGTTTTAAGGTATCGTCTTGTTATGGAATTTGTTGAGAAAACCCATCCCCCTCCTAAACCAACCCCCTATCCCTACACATGTTGTAATATGGTGTGATCTTAAATGCCATGTTTGTTCTTAACACATTCTTTATTAAATGTGTAGGTAAATGCATATCCCTCATACATCCGTTTCCTTTGTTTTGCTATTTTTGTCTGATGGTCCTGAAGAAAAACATTTTAGTGGAAATCATTTAACACGCGTAGAATCCTAATTATCTCATTTTTAATAAATATTCTTATAATTTTCTTAATTATTCTTCATTAAAATAGAAGTTCTTTTATGAAGGAGTTTTATATTCAATATCGAAAAGGAGTTAGAATGTTTGTCCTATTTTTACATGGATAGTGTCGTCGATGAAGCAGAAGACGCTTCCATTTTTCAGAATACCGGATCAAAGTCTCCTTATAAATGTCTCAAAGGTATCCGCGCAAATCTGTCTTTGTTCACATTTGCCTTAGTTTCGTCGATTTTTAGCTCAAATATCAGTTTTTTATTTTCCTTTTCACTTGACGATGGAAGCATTGTAATTGATAAGATTTAAAAAAAAAATAGAGGCAAATTCATGTGCTCATCTTGATCATAATATATAGGTTGTTCCTGAGATCCCATTTGCCACCCTATACATTCTCAGACTAAGTATTTATGATTTAAGCCTCCTTTACCCAAACAAAAATAATAGTATTGTTTTATAATATCAATGCTCTTATAAACCTTCTTCGAAAATATTTGAAATGTCAAAAGTCTACGATATGATCATGGCTTAAGCTTTGGTCGATTTAAGAAATGTAAGAAAATGAAGGATGATATCTCACAAATACTTATCAACAAAATATTTTCATAGCCGGAGCTTAAGCATATTTTCACTATAAATGACCAAGGTTCTCAATTTCCATAACCATCATTAGACGTTGAGTTAGCAGCATGTGTACATTATGTTTATGCTGTTAGATATTCTTCTTTCTTCATGTCTAAAAATAGATTTTATGTTATTATGACTAGTTCGAGCGATCTTCTTTATTATTTTTTGGCACAATTTGGCAGAGTAGACATTTTCAATGTTTTATTCTTAACAATAATTTTGAAAATCATATTAAATATGATTTGTTATTTTTAAATTGCAGACCAAGTTATGAAGACGCTTTGGACTTATTGCGAAGCTTCTCATCCGATGATTACTAACCTCCGGGGATTAACAGGTCTGGATCATAGCATTGTCTGAATCAGCGTCTGACGGAACCTTGTAATGTCACACACTCAAGTGCCTATAGGGATCATCTCGAAACCGTAAAACAAAACGATATCATATTGCAGGAGAAATGTGAAAATCTGTTTAGGAGAAAGTGCATATTGATTTTGTTAATAAAGATGTGGAAAATGTTAATTGCAGTTTCAAAAAGTAGAAGTGTGTTACCATGATCTGTTCAAAACATTCAGAGGCAAATCGTTCTATCAGCTACATCCAGATGTCAGTATCATGTTATCACAGGACGCACAGTAGGTAATTTGTTTATGTTTGATAATTGCAATTGGACCTCGTTAGCCTGTACTAACTGTTGTTTTCATAAGGAAAGGCAAGGATGATTTTTGTTTCGGAAAGAAAAGCGCCCTGAGGAAAGAAGAACTTTAAATTGCGAAAGTCGGAAAACGTGAACCTATTTCGAAGTCAAGTTTTTCTGATCACTGGTGCATCTAAATTACTGCACACAGTGTATATGTTATCAGAATAGCAGCTACATACAATTCCTTAACTTGTGAACATTATAACTGATACATACGTTAAGAGACCATGCGGGCGAGCTTGTCAGCTGAATAATTTGTTATCATGAAAGTGTATTTGTATATGAGTGGATATTGTTAATTAAAACACCTTAAGTCCGAATAAATCCGGAGTGATGTTATTGTGGAAGGTAAATATCTGTTTGTGATCAATGGTAGCTCGATTTAACGAGGCTCTGTATTGCAAATATAGTTTCATTAGAAACATCATATGGACTAACCGTTGAACGTCCAATAGCCAGGGCCTACTTGTGGCAAGCATCTTAATGACCATCAACTTTTATAAAGCACATTGATTTAATGTTGATCGAGGTTAAGTTTCAACTTTTAGATGTGTCGCACATGTGGGACCTGGATTATTAGACAAAAAGTAAATTCTAAAGTCTACGGTGCCCTGTCATTCCTTTACGGTAACTGTATCATTTTTAGAAGATATTCTGATTAAAATCATAAATACTCAAACCTTTTTGTATGGGTCGTCAAACCTATTCTAGGTACCGAATCGGGGAAAGAGTTATGCCTTTTTAGAATTGCTATGCCACCGAATTGTACACGTGATATTTGCGAATGCGACATGGTTTAAAACACGTAGATACAATTGCATGTTTAAAAGGACAAATTGTTATCTTTGGCATACCACAGAAGTACATCTCATGTATTTTCTCCTATCTTTCTACCAACTCATTTCTTCATCGAAAGTAATATTGTTCTCCCTCCTACACAAAACAGCTATCTGCAATTCTCGAAAACAAATGATATCCGGATAACAACAGGATATGATTCTTTTAAGAGTATGTCGAACAGGGATTCGGAGATTTCCTATCGGTATTTCATCAAAAATTACAAAACACTGTTGATACTGAAGACAACTACATGAGAAGATACCGACTTTTACGATCAGAAGCCCATACGTCAATCGTTTCCATGGTGACATCGGGTAAGCTTGGCCGATTGCCTCTCGTTCGACCAGGATACAATCACCTCTTTATGGCTTATCTGTACTAATTCATGGACTATTATTTAAAAGATCTGGTTGAAGTTTTTTGAAAGAATTGCGGTTAAGTTATTGATCTTACATTTTCTATGAAAAAATGATATAATTTTATTTTCGATTATTTATACTGAACAAGTTTTATTATTTATTTTGTAATAATTGATTAATATGTTCAATTTTTTTTTATACCACTTATACTCCTGCAACCATATGTCGTGAAATGACCTATAAATAGTCCTCGTTGATTCAGCCATAACTAGTCCTGACGCACGGTTACACAGCCAGTGGCCAGAACATCAAATTCCAGAATTTCGATACGGAAACAAAAGGGGTGGACGGTCCCATTGATAGAATGTATAGGTAGATTGTATCTTAACTAATAATGTTACAATATTCAGTTTGTATTTTTCAAATCGAGGTTCCAACATGGTTTCTGTATAAAATAAAGCAAAAGAGAGATCGCACAAACAAATAACCAAAATGATATTTTTTTCAATAAAAGGAAACAACTTGGGTATTGGGAATAACGAGGTTCCATTGTTCCATCAATCATACATGTATATATGTAGCACGAAAGTATTGAAACGCTACTCTCTGGAGTAATCCCCATTCCATATGCTCTCTACAATGACTTGGTAAGATCAGTGTTTACTGTTGGGAATTGGAATACAGAAGTTGTGTGCTTCATTGAACAGGCATGGCAATTAATTTCGAATCAATCATAACTTCTGATTGTAACGATATTCTTTGTATAACGACACCCGAATAATACGAGTAGTGTACACAGAGAGATTCTGTAAACAAATGGAACCATTTGAAAAAGTTAATGTAATTGGGCGTTGACAAGGTCTACCTCCTCCCCAAGTTAAGCGGGAAATCACTTTGCACGTGTAATTCATATTTAGATACATTTTGCATCCGTAATGTATACAAATACACTCTGTATGTGTCAAGTAATTAGATACTCTTTACATGTGTAATGAAGATATATATACACTATATGTAATGTATATATATAACCTTTATATGAGTAATGTTATTTTACATAAATAATGTTATATGGATTCACTAGCTAGCTCTAAACCTTAATTTAAAGTTTGCCTCGTAAAGAAAGTTGGGAAGGCGACGTTGGATATGATTCAAAAATACTACCAGCCTGTGCAATTTATTTTCTTACAAGAAAATAAAATATACACCAAAGATATCTTGTTGTTCATTTTTCATAGAAGTGCTAGTATCAAATTTACTGGAAAAAGGCCATACAAAAAATACAAGATTTACTATCGTAATACAATTATAAACTTGTTATAGGTGATTCAAATAATAACTTATGAAATCAATACTTATAGATATATTATAGTTACAATGAAGGAGTAGGGCTTAATTGTGCTATTACCGATAGATTTTATTTTGCATATACATACATTCTGATTTTGCCATCATACTATGACATGAAATTAAGGTAAGTTTTAGGATCAATTCGAGATATGAGGGGCCAAAATCACAATTGGCCTCTGTTTGACGTTTTTTCAAACTTTCTTCATACCTTTGATGTATCATTTAACACTAAATCTGTACATGATACAAGTGACCGACAAAATCTAGAACATCGTCGATAAGTAGGTTATTGTTACCTGGTTATATATTTGATCAATCATGCTAACGAAAGGTTCTATTTTGTGCCTAAAAACTCATTATAATCATATAAGTAAGTTTACAAAATCTCAAGACAAAGTGAACATTTTTATTCATAATTGCTAAGTTTTGGTACAAAAGCCAGACAGCAACTGCTACTTTTATTTGGAACTACATCTATCTGTCAAATTAGTCAACACTCGAACAATTATATCTGACTACATCTTTACTTTTTGAAACAAAGCAAGTAAGTGTTTCGCTACCTTACCGTAATAAAACCTAAATTTTGTCTTCCAGTGCTTTCGTGATGTTTAGAACAATGTACAGTGGAATACAGATAATTGAAATAGAGATATGCACATAAAAGTATAATATTCTTCTATAGTTTTAATTGATAATTTGGCTAACATAATGGGAGATATAACCATCCCCTGACAAACATCTTATACATTTATTTTAGGCGAGCGCGTATAATGTATAAAATACTTGCTTCATAACCTAAAAGGTTATGTAAACATTCTACTCACAGATGTAAGGACCTCAACCCAAACGCATGTGTTAGGTGTCTTTTAGGTGGTGGTAATACATCCCATTAAATAGCCAAAATAAATCAAAACTTTAAAATAATATCATACTTTGATGTGCATCCATTTATGTCAATCATTTATTATTACACGGTAGACGGTTCTGAACTTAATCGGAGTACTTGCTGACAAACTTTAAGTGTTTTTACACTAAGGTAGCGAGGTATCCTTACCTATAATACATCAAAGAGAAAGTATACATTTGTATCAATGATAGATAAAACCAGCCACCAGAAGGCCCTAACTGGCTCCACTCCGTTCAATTTGCAATAGGTATATATAACATTAAATATAATAATGATGTCAGTTAACGTATTGTAGCAACCCTAATCGTTAACATTAATTTATAAGAGTAAACAAAAACATTAATTGATGTACAACTGCTTTTTGGAATTTGGACATTGGAATTAAAATATTACAATTGAAGACAGTATAACAAAAAACAGTTGTACAGAAAGTAATACATTGTAGTTCGGTAAGTTTAAAAAAAAAGAAGAGAATTTTACTTAAAGTATGTCGTAAAATAGACCTCTTGGTAGCAGAGTAACACATGGACCTAATGGAATGTTGTTCTGTATACATGGACCTTGAAACAACAACAGCAAAATAGAAATTGTGTCATAGAACTACTCCTGACTGGGCTCCAGCGAGTCCTAGATTTGTGGGAAATGGCTATTGATGACCTTGATGGATAAAGTCGAAACGTAACAGGTTTCCCGTGAAAGGATATACAATAGAGATAGGGTCACAAGTGTGAATAGTTAACCCATGAAAACATTGTCATGAATAGTCAAATATATGAAGACAAACTAATAAAAAGGGAATTATCAAGAAAACGGAAAATAATTTACAAAAGAGCAGAATGCATCATCGTTAATTAACGAGACAGATTACACGCCAATATCAACTAAATAAACTTAATAACCAAATGAGGGGATCAGAGTATTGGAAATTAAACTATTATTACATATAACTGATGCAGAAAATGCCGAATTAACAAAATTAACATTCAAATAAATAATCCCAGAAAGAAAATTCAGGTCCAACTGCAAGCTTGAAAACAAACTGTTAAATTAGCATGAAAAAAGCATCAATATTTTTGTTTTCAATAAAACGAAGAATACTAAATATTTTCTTAATATGAATATGACCAATAAACATGTCAGACCGTTCTCTACTTTGTGTATTTTTTTATCAATTGGAACGAAAATCAAAGTCAAGAAATTTTTATAGAAACATTAAATGAGCAAGGAATCATATCGGAAAAATGACGAAACGTGAAATACGAAAATTGTTAGCAAACCCTGATTTAAACGTTTAACAAATTCCAATAAACCAATAAGAATAACTGCCCATCGGAATTTCTTCAAATGAAAATAATAAACAAAATATTGACTTTTGTGATCCAACACTGCGCGAAGCCATCTTGCTCTATAACGAAGACTAATGCACCTCTTTTGGGCCGCCTAAATATGAGCATGCAGCTCATTGCATTGTGTACTGTCTATACCAATAATACGCATTCGAAAATAAAACTTGCGGACAAATTAAAAAGTAAATGTTACCAATTTTTGACCCCTAACACGACCATATCGCTTCCACTGCTACTTTTACCATATGAGAATGAAAATATCTAGCAATAATATAGAAGGCACTGCTGTACTGAAACAATGAGAAGGAAACGTTAACATAGCTAAAAACATCTTCCCCTGTCCTCATGATGGTTGAGCACGTCGCTCACACTCATATAAATGCATCAGCCTTAATAAAATTTAAAATAGCATTTGATTGTGATGATCCGATGCCGCTTGAAAACGTGTTTTTTGTGGGGGTTTTGGTCGTTTTTTTAATTTTTAGCCGGAAATTTGTTCAAATCTTTAACCAAGTATAGTTAAACCCTTTTGACCTCTGAAACGACTTGATATTGTCTACACTAGTTGTTACGCCTATAAAAGTAAAATATCCTTATCGTGATAAGATAAGTATGATCTGTGAGCTGAATCAATGAACGGAAACTAATTCATAAAAACTTTCAACTAAAGTAAGCCACCGCAGGACTACAACAGCCCCGTCATACTCCGAAAAGTAGATAAACAAATGCAACGAAACATTAACCAAGTTCAATGAACTCCCCGTAAATATAGATCTATAAAAATGTTTCAACACATTGCTCTTTCTTCATATAAATGCTTCAGCCTCATAAAAGTAAAACAATTTTTGACTTTAGTGATCCAGTACTACAGAAAATGTTGGTTTTAACCTTTAGCCTGAAATTGTTTAACAACTAGAAATACATGTCAAAAGATCAAGTTAAAAACATGTTAAAAAAGATGGTAATAGACCATGCATAACGATGACAACAAGACGGTGTAAGCCTTATATACTTCATAAAAGCTGAAAGAAGGCAAAGACATCAAACCTGACGAACAGCACCAGCTTTGGTATCCCAGTTATCGAGAATTCCGCTTTTAATAACCTTGTCTTCACAGCAGCCTTGGGCTATGTCATAACAAAATAGAATGTTCATGATTAGCCATTCGATAACGAAAAAACTCCAAACATACCTATCCTTGAATATCACGGAGGAGTTTCACCAAAATCAAAGGCGACCAATTCAACCAGTAAGCTGCCGCTTGATTCCTTTTGTCTTGTTGTCAAGAGATCAAATGTATAAAGGATTCTATAATCTTTTCCACACTAACGTTAGGGGACCAAAAACGGGACACTTGTGGGATAACAACCCATGAAATCTGCCATGCAATGCAAAATTTATTATATGTATGATATTTTCACTTGATGATAGGTTTATGTCAATTTGACTGTATAAAATCTTTACTAGTTTCTGATAATGGTTACACGATAACTTTTAGTTTAAGAATAATTACGAAAACAAAACGTTTTTATTTAATTGCATTGTGACGCTGTAAATTAGGACATTTTCTTTTTCAAATTTAATGATAGTTTGGAGCAGAAATACAATCAGAACCTCCTATGACTCCTAAATTTATCTGCTTATTTGATAGATCATTCCCCTATTTTAAATAAAATAACAAAATATTCGTTTAGGGGTCGAGTTACACATGTTTTAGGGCCTACGTGACCCTTGTAGTGTTTCTCTTTATACAGCTACGTGCCGTAAATATCAACTTGTAATAGAAAAGAAAAATGGATGGTTTTTGTTTTATCTAACTACTTTTTTTAAATTGATGCTATTAAATAAAATAATATTTATCTAAAGCAATGTCTCGTTTTCGGTAGAGTCATGAAAGTCAACGTGTATGACCCGTAAGGTGACATGTCCTGAGCCTTCCATGTAGCTTAAGTAGTGAAGAGGTCATTATCACTTGAGGCCCCAGACGGTACACTTGTAGTTTTTAGCAAAATTGAATACTTTTTTTCGAAATAAAAGGTGCGAAGAAAAGGACTAAGATTCTGTAACATCAAAACCTCGGCTTACGCCTCGGTCAGGATTTTGTTACAGAATCTTAACCTTCGACTAAGATAACCCGATCTCGCTCAGTTACAGGTAGGAGATTTTATAAATCTTCTGCAAAGACAAAACGATGGGATAAACTTAATTTTCACTTGTATTCACTGGAACAAAATTATACGATTTAACTACGAGCTCATCCATACAATAACTCCAAATCAGGAAATCATTTTTCAGAAGAGAAATCAGTAACTCTAATCTTAACATTAAATGTTAAGTCCTTGAAGACTGATAATTATTTTATCAAAAGTGAAATAATTCATTCCTTTTGAGCTTATCTGATAAACTATTTTGAAGATAACATCCAGTTGAAATAACATGCACTTAAATTCTCACTCTCTTTTTTTTTTTACAGTTTTCAGGCAATCTGTCCATAAACATTATTGTCCCAGTAAATCAAATACAGAAGAAATCAATTGGAGTAAAATGTTCCACGCGGATTTAATAACAAATGTTCTTATTAAAAATTGTCATAAAAATGGAAATCCATT